CTTAAGAAAGGGCAAACATGAATATTATATGTTTGAATAATGTTTTTTAAGAATATTATATGTGTTATTTGCAGAAAATAGCAATCAATGTGAAATAAATTGTCCTTAAAGTAGCAAAATGTAAAAAAAATAGTATTTTTGCTTGATGTTCCATACAAAATACAAATTCACTATAACTATACTTATTGCCAAAAATCAATAGATGACAAAGATGGTTCAGTTATTGACCAATGAGTATCCTTTTAGATACTTTAGAAGTACACCAAAGCTTTTGAGAAATGAAAATAAAAGCATTTCTGGGACATAATGGGCCTTAAACAGTGTTGAAACTTTGATCAATGTTTAATAGATAAAATACAAATGTACTTTTCTTAAAGCGTGACATGTAGATATAGACTATTTTAATCAACCTCTCAAACGTTAAAATGAAAAAAATACGTAATTTGAATATGTACGTTCTTTAGGTAAGGCTCTTGGCACAAACATATATGACATAATTCAATATGATATCTTCCCTTCTCTATAAGATTTCATTGCAAAAATAGCTTTTAAATCTGAACATCTACATACTGTTAATATATCAGAAGATGATACCTGTAGCGATGGAATATATTGATAAATGTTAAACGTGCATGAATGTTAACTTAATTACTAGTATTTTAGCTTTAAGCTCGTTGAAAATCAACACTTTATTTTGAATAATCTTTCACACCCCTACAGGGTAAAGAGTTAATAGATCTAATAGTCTTTTTGATCTATGCTTGTTGTTTCTAGTGATTCGATGTGATTTGATGCACAATAAGTTAATTTGTAAACTTTTAAACCTACTTATTTAACATTAATAAACAAATGTTTCCCAACATTTTCAAAAAATCAACATGTAAATCAAAAACATTTGTGTTATTGGTTTAACAACTTTTAACAAACAACTTTATAAAACAAACTTATGTATGTTATTCACGTGACAATGTCAATGTACAGGAATAAAATTGAGATGGATTTCTCACAGAACATCAATCAAAAGAACTACCGGTTTCCTACTACTCTTCTAAATTAGACATTTCTACCATCATTGTTTATATACAAATCATTATCAACAAGTTTTGTTGGCGTGAAATCAAATGAGCTGTTTCAACTATAGAATGGAACGAAGTAGATAAGAAATTTTACGCAAAAGCAATTATTATGCATTAGAAACATATACGTTTGTCAATTATCTATATGTTCAGGGGGACACAGTAATAATATTTGCTAGTTCATTTAAAATAATGAATATTTTAAGCAGTAGTTTTATCAATTCTTAAATTTATTATCGTATTTTATGGATTCAAATTTGGTAAAACTTTGTAAAATCAAAATTGTTAAACAAACAGAACAACAACAAAAAAACAAGTAACATTTGAAAGTCAAATTAACATTTAAAAAGAATTTCGACATCACACACGTAGGGATAAATTGATACAATCAGTACAATATTTACGCATTAATCAATTATAAGGGACATTGATTTAATCCATGCATAAATAATAATAATAAACACCAAAGTCAAATAAATGAACGTATGACAATTGTTATCAAATCTTAAGGTTTTGTACAGAACAAAATCATGACAATATATAAACAATATTGAAAAAATTGAACATTTTTAATAGATATCTATAGTATTATTCACTACATGTATTTACAAAAAACTCCTTTCAAAATTATTGAACACTTTTTACCGATTAGATTTAGGCTCAAGTAAAAAAGGCTAGCGGCTCTTGATTATTTTATGTTTCTATGTAGGGACAAACAGTAATATATATTTATTTTGAAAACAGCAGTGCTCAATATTTCTGTTGTTAGTTTTTTGTGTGAGTTATAGAAATACAAGATTACAGAAATTGGTGGCGTTATGGAAACCAAATCATTGACTTAACATATCAGGAGAAACTTGTCAAATGTATCAACTGTTACTGTCATAAATTGTTCATGAGGTCAAAATGACACGCTAGCTAAATGCAGGAAAAGGTGACTGCAACACGTAATTTATTGCTGCAAAAGTCTTCCTTGCACATAATTTCATTATTCATAAACATCATATGGAACGATAAAATAGCACATTGAAGCCCTAAACATTTGTCTGCCAGACAAAATGATATTTACATAAAAATAATTCTTTTAAATGGATGGAAATAAAAGGACAAATATATATAAAAAAAACAACAAAAGAATTTTGACATTCTTTGCTCAACGCAATCGTTAGAAACGTTTGTCCCTGTGTACGAAATCAAAAAACGTTTTTACAAAACCGAAATCAGTATTATTAGACTAGAACACTATAAATCACTCTTGCTTCACTTTACATGCAATTCTAGCTTAACATTAAATAATAGAATTAATGAGTAACAGAACAAATCTATGAAGTTCGTAATTAGAAGAGATATTTTCAAAAATCGAATTTGACTTAGTGGAATGTTGTTACAATTTATGTATATTACATTTGCTTATTTATAACAAATATTCAAAATAGTTTATATACATTCAGATGTATTTCATAAATGGACGAAAATAAACATATGTAAAAAAGTATAATTTATCATTTATCTTTGTTCCGAAACTTTCCGCTTTAATAAAATTCTTAATTGTTAATTGAAAATTAAAAGAACAACTTTGAAGTTCTTAATTAGCGTGAGTTAAAAAATAATAAAGAAAAAAGAAAACAAAAAAAGAAAACAAAAAAACCCCGACAAACAAGACCCCTACCCCCGAAATCACCACCCCCTCCAAAAAAAAATTTAAAAAAAAACACAAACACACAAACACAAAAGAGCAACACCAAAATAACCAAATCAAACAACAACAAACGAAAACAACAAGAACAAACAAAGAAAAAAGATACGCTACAAAAAACAAAACAAAAACAAAACCTGTAAACTTGAATGATTGATCTAATTTGTACACAATTGGTTTCTCGTAGTTAACACAATTTAATTCCCTAAGGACAGACTTAAGCATTCTTTGGTTCAAAATAAAAGATATTGACATAACTTACTCTAAATTTCCAGAAAAGTTTAATCACGCATTTTGCTGACTTGACAGATTTGTCTCCGAATTCCAATAAAGATACTTTAATTGAATAAACATTTTTCATACTGTTACATTTATGCAGATATTATCACATCAAGAAAATTCCTCGAAACGAGTTTTAATAAAACAATGCAATTTTAAATTTGGGGATGATTTCTATATTCCAACTTACATCGAATCGTATCTGTATTTTATGACCTTGGCGTGATGATTGTCAGTTAAATGAAATTTAATTGATTTCACAAATATTATTTCTAATGTAATATTATTAATGTCGAACGTTTTAATTGGTAAGTGTTCAATGAGCATAACGGAAAAATTGGACATTTCATGAAACGTGATAACATATGATATTTAGCAAAGACTGATTTATAAATCAAAAGATATAAATAATTTTGGAACATAGTTTATTGTGACATATTAAATGCCTTAGAAAAGAAATTGTCAATTCAAACTATTTGGAGATAAGCTAACTATGAATGGATATTTATGCAAATATCATTTGACTGATTATTTATTACAAGTATAAACATAGTATGATTTTTCATAGATGACAGATAATTTTGCAATAGACGAATACCGAAACATTATCAATAACCATAAACAACAACAACAACAACAACATCAGCAACAGCAGCAACAACAACATCTATTTTGAAAGTCGTTTGTCACCACACATGAACTTCATAGTACCTTCTCATTACCACTATATCAAACGAAGCATTACCATCTGATAATACTCGTAAAGCTTTATATACTCATCTAGGTTGAGTGTTTGCACTTACATAGCAATATAGACACATTTTTCAGTTACCAATAAAATAGATTTTACTACACATACTTTCCGTTTTTTTCCCGCGACAGTTCTATGCCACACAAACTGTTATAATTGTCTCTATTCAAAACCATGTTTATTCACTTTAATATTTTATTGAACTAACAGCGTTAATTTTATTATAATAACAATATACATGTGGTCCTTTTTTTATTGTGAGCTGAAATTTTATTTGACATTATGCTTGATATCGTCAACAAACATTTTGCCATTTTGGGGTTTTCGAGAAACACTATTAGTTGAGAACAACAGAAAATAAAACAACTTCTGTTTATGCAAGCATCTTTCTTTAAAAGAAAAAACCCTATCCTTAAAAGTATTTTACTAAAGACAGTACTGGACGAACATTAAATTGTTGTACCCCATACACACAAACAAGTTTTTATTTCTATGAAATTTAGTTAAATTATTTAATGACAATGATAACGAAAATGCAAAATTTAAGCAATTTCAAGCCCAGTGGAATTCATTTCTAGCGCATTTAATGTACATTATATCCTAAAGCTTGTGGATTAATCAACTATATAATAAGGACATAAATTGAATTGCCTAAGTTCTTCTTAATTCCCGGGAACAACATTTTTCAAATGAATAAACACGCATGTAATTTAGGCCGGAAGCCTGATATCTGGCAGCAATTGTATTATCTGGCACATTTTTTACACATGAATAATCAAGTTTTAATTGATTTAGGCAATTTTCATCTGACCTGGGTTGAATATAATTCCGAGCTGTGGTATTAACTACTTTTATGTCAACCATACGTTATCTGAACTTAATTAATGAGAAACGTGTCTTTTATAAGAACATTAGAGGTATGTGTTCTACTGCAATTGTTTGTAGATATTACGGCATTCTGGCGTTATTAACAGTAACGGATTAATTTTTCTTCATTTTTGTTAGTAATGAAAACAACAAAGACATATTCTGAAGAAAACTATTCCTCTATATCATTCAAGTTGGCTAAATCACAATATAATCATCTTATTTTAAAAAATATAATCCTTAAATGTAAACAAATGAAATATTAATGCCTTGCATTTAGAAGCAGATAACATGTAAGATTAGATGAGATAAGATAAAATTAATTCGTTACCGTCTTTGTCTCTTCTTGCAATGAACTTTTCAACTTGTTCTGGTGTTGTTGTTGGGTTGTACTTCTTAAGGTAGTCGAGGATTTCTTCTTTACTTGCACGTTCATCACGATTGGTATCGATGTAACTTGCAAACTGTTCTTTCAGAGCTGTTGCCATGTAAAATATAAAACATTTATGACATGTATATGTACTTAATAAATTATACAAAACATAACAAAAACAAAAAAAACAAACACACAAATATTTAGATAAAATATGCTAGTACTTCTTCTTTAAAATTGATTGTAATAGTAATTCGATTCGGCGTCTTGGACCTTACCAGTATTGGTATCATATTAGAAAACCTGGCCGTGACCCCAGTGATCTGGAATAATTATTTATTAGCTGAGCGACAGACATTCTTGTCTTCAGCCACCAGCCATCTTTATTATTTTGGATCATTTTTTGAGATATTGAGACGCAAACTTTGGTAAAACCATAAACTTCAAACGAGTCATATTCTCACTAAATGACAATATAAATATCGTATATACAATAATAATTATAATATCATGATAATAAATAATCAATACACATATCCACCTTTTTATGTTAATATTATCCAATTAAGTTTACTCGTAATTCTTTCTTAAATTGATGAAATTGTTTATTGACTGCACAGCCGCAGCCAAAGTTTATTATGCACATTGTCTCTCAAATGAATTTTCATTATATTTAATCCCTCATAGCAAATTCAGCAATAAAGGAATTAATTCAACAATCTTTCAACAAAAACCACAAATATGTCTCTTTTACTGTCCCTGCAATGAGGATGTAATATCACAACACACTTCCCTTGTGAGACATCAAAGGCGTATATGTCAACAAAAATAATTATATGAAAGGATAGGTTAAATTAACTAACAAAAAATAAAGCTATCTTTCGGGTTAAGGAAAACGTAAATCCCTATAATCACATAATTTCGTTATTCCGAAACGTATCTTTCATAGCACTATTATTTATATTTTAAAAAATACTTATTGCAGAATCAGAAAATAGCAATGTTAAAAGGTAACTTGTTTAAAGTACACATGAAAGTACTTAATCAGTATGTTTTGGGACAGGAATCATTTGCTTTCTTAACTTTAAATGAACTGCTACAGTCAGCATCGAACAAATCAAATCGTTGTTATATCACTAAAAATTAAATTGAATAACTTATCTTGTTATAATAGTTCACATATACTTATATTAAATTGATATTTGTTTGAAACATGTGTTTATAGAGATTTAAATAATTGATATCATAAGTTGAAACAGACACCTCTCTGGTAATACTACAATATTTGGATATTTGATGTCGTATAGACCCAGATACTGGACAACAAAAAAGCAATGATTAATTTAAGTAACAGTATAAGCGTCTGTTATCTTTTAGACAGAGAAGTATAGTTACACATGAAATGTTTACAATGAATTCACAACTTAACAGACGAATGTATTAATTTTTCTTTAAAATGTCTCCCGTTCATTGACACTCAAAAGGCAGTTTTCTAGGAGATCATTGATTTGTTTTGTTTAGATAATTAACATTTATAAATGTTGAAGACTGCATAAGCCGGTGCTGGGTATTATAGACGCTAAGTCTTTACCACTACCGTCCATGAACTATTTTGCATCATTTTCAATTTTGCCATGTGGACGTTCGTTAGAAATTGTTGTTTTCCTATTTTACATTATTAGATTTAATAAAATCATTAACCAGATAATATTTTAAATAAAACATAATGATCCTTATATATACTTTGCTCTATGTCAGGATGAATAAACATACATAAAATATTTTAGGCACTCACCTTGCAAATGAGGTATTGTAAAGCACATCTGAAAAAGATAAAAATATATGGTAATTCTAAAGACTAGACATTGATAGTTTTGAACTAGATTGGAAGAACTCGTATCAAATTTGGATAAATAATCGTTTTCAGCAATTATCGTATCATTTCGTTTCCATTGCATACTGCTATCAACCTTAACATGTGTATTGACATGTTTTAAATCCGGTGCTAGTGATTTGCATAAGTGAAGTCAATATCACTTACGTTTAAGAACTTGTTAAGGTAAACCTAGCATAAAAGCATTTTCAATTTTGCTTTTTCGACGTCCTTTAAAGTTTCCATATAGTGATTTGTTCTTTCACCCTTGTTCTAAGTATCAAATAACGTATTTTCTAACAAATTGTATTTCATGTTGGCATCACTTTTAATGTTCGTCGTAAAATTGATATAATATCTATTAACTAGAAATCAATGATTTGATATTAGAAACATTTTATATAATAACCATATGAATACAAAGTCTTTATTTGAATTATTTTGATACATTGAAACACATAAAACTGGCAAATTGTTCAAATGATAATAATCATTTAGAATGTCGTTTTCTAACAAAATGTTTGAAAGTCAAAATTTGGATTTTACTGTTCGCTTATCATATATTGTTATACTTCAAAACTAGATAATTATATTATTTCGTGCATTTCAGGTTATTTATTACCAACCGTTTTGACCATATCAGCATGAATTATTTGGCTATACAATTAACGTTAAACAGACTTTGCGAAAATCAACCTATTTATGTAACTACACCATCTATTAAAGAACAATTATTAAGAAACAAAATGTTTCTGAAGTTGTAGAGACTCAATAAATTTTCATGTAATTATGTTGTGATTTATGCTTTCGAGGTATCACCAGATTTTCATTCTTTCAGATTTTTATACTTCACAACAACATGTGTCAAAGTCCGTGTTGCAACTGTTAAATGTTGCCAAGAACTTCATTTCAGTGATGTTACATTTTTCTGTTCTAATGGGGTCATTGATTTCAGCACTGTTAAAAGTTGGATATTCAGTACCGCTTAAGCCGTTGCTAGGGGGCTTGAGGTATGTTACAGTTATTCATTATCTCTCATGTACAGACTCAATCAAACCTTGTCTGAAATTTTCATGTAAATTTATTTTGAATCATGCTTCTGAGGGATTGCCCTTCTTCGAGATTTTCATTTTATTATCATGCTAGAAATATAAGTATAACTGTATGAGTATACAGAAAATTTTGAATTTAATTAAATGAATGTTTGCATCCCTACATGTAGTTTTAAATTTTAGCTTTTTATATTTGTTCCTAATTTTTCTTTCAAAACAATTTTCCAAGCTTTAGCAATATCATCACAGACTTGCATTCTTAAATAGATTAGAAATTCAATATTGTTCAAAGGTCGAATCAACATCTGAAATAAAGATTGCGAACTAATTTGCATAATTTTAAGTAAGAAATTATGCATGGAAATTTAAACCTTACATTATTGATACCAATGCTTGAATTATGCATATGCCCTTTTATCGTCAAACAACTCTAAATTCTACAATTAGGTTAAATACTTTACATGAAAACGTTCTGTTAACCTTCCTCCTTTTAGAACGATGTTATAATACATTACCATAGTAGCAACTGTTTCGTGCCATTTTGCAAATATTTTTAAAATACATGTATATCGGACACCAAATTCAACTAGCTATCTACCGTACATTTATTAGCATTTAATATGCACATGATTTGTTAAAGCTGCATTTTATAAATTTCATAAAGAAAAACAGAAATAGCGGCATTTCGTTACTACAAATGGGTTTCATATTGTCCTCAGTTTTTATTTTTGTGTGCAGAAAACCAAAATTTTAAGTAAAGCAATCTGCTAAAATCATTGTAGCAAAATCGGATGTTCAAATTCTGTTTGCATTTGAAACTCCGCCTTTGAGTCATCCGTACATTAATAGAAAATCATCAAAGTTAACATGGCCATAAGATCAGTCCGAATTTAACGGTATATTTCAACATTATATAACGGATGTTTTCAAACAATAAAAATAAGATATGCAAGTAATCAAAACAATCAAAGTAAGTGAACAGAAAAATTGTTGACTTTGATGATTCATTCTGATTTATTATTCTGTTTATTTATATTGTATAATAACATGAGCACATCTGCAGATGTTTCTAAATTTTTGAAAATTCACCATGTTTGTGTTCAAATGTTGAATTCTGCTTAAGCCGGTGCTAGGGGGCGTGAAAGGTAATTTGCAGTTCCAAGTATCGCCAATTGACATACTCAATCAAACCGAGCCTGCAATATTTTTAATTTTGTCGCTTTGTGCTCCGTTTTTTTTTCTATTTTAGTACAAAAATATGAGATTCATATCTTAAATAACATTATCCTACAGTCATAAAATATAAAGTCGATTATTTAGAGAAAAAAACAACATAACTTTAAAATCATTTTCACAAAGTAAAAGCAATTAGAATATTTCTTTGAGTAAGGAATGACGTATTTCGTGTAATGAATGGCCAATAACACTAAGTAGACTTTCAATCTTGACTATTCTTTCGTTAGCCTTCCTTTTCTAAAATAATCAAAATGATTATATTTGTACATAATTGTTGATTATATTTGTACATAATTGTCAGTATAAACAGATATCTCACAATTTAAATACTAACAAGTTCTAGCGATGGAACGTTTGCCAAGACACCAGCGGAAAAGCAACAGGCATGGTTCAAAAATATGTTATCCTTGTAATGTTTTGCTGGTAATTAATTGTTTTATTTGATGATTTAATGTATACATGAGCAGAGAGCAGATAGTGTATTCAAGTGTTTGACTTCATATTAACATTGCGATGTAAACAAAGTTAACTTTGCACCTTCTTCAAATGATTTGTTGCAGCAAGTTTCACTGATTTAGCTAGCTAGTGAACGTTTTTAAACAAATGTCATTCAATCTCTACATTCTACAAACAGTATATGAATTTAACAAACCAATACAATCTTAGAACAATTTTGCGGACAAAAAATCGAAATATTTTTAAACGTATATAGTTTAATCGCTAAAGTACTTCATACTGATAATATAACATACGGAAAAATATTCTTAACAAACCTTTTGCTTGCGTCAATAATGAGAAATTTCTAGAATATTTGGGGATCTTATATTCTTATAAACGCAATTCAAAGTTAGAACTCGGTGACATATTTCTCCATTTAAGAATGATTTATTCTTTACAAGTGTTATTGAAGAGGCTATGAAGTGTTTTTAACACTATCATCCTTAATAAGTTCTACTGTAGAGGCTATAAAGTGGTTCTTTATGTTATCATTTATACCAATATTTGGATTATAGAAAACAACGCCATTGCCGAAGCTAAGCGTCTTCTTTTGCAGACAGTATATTTGAAAAACTTATATCTTCTCTCTAATAGTTAATATCCGTTTTGTACATACCATGGACGACCAAAATATCTCTCCGTATTTATAAATCAATGCTGATTTATGCAGTTTAAGCTTTTGATATTTACATGATACTGATAATTTTTAAAGCTAAATCTATATTATTCATTTTACAATCATAAAAACAAAATTTCGATGCTCATTTGATATAAATACTGGTACAGTCCTTTTAAAGAAGGAAACCACAAACACTTTTAAATAGTGTAAATATAAGGTAAAGTGAAATAAATAATATAATAATATTTAACAATGCTCTTGAATAAATATAATATACATAATATAATATACATATATATAATGTAATATATAATATAATGTAATATATAATTTAATGTATAAGGTAACAAATTTAGAATTTCTAAAGCATCAAAAGCAAAAAAAACTGTTGGCGAGATAGTAAAAGTTGTGTGTTTTGAATCAAAATCATCAATCTCGTAATAATTCATTTATTCTTCATGTTCCTTGTTCTAAAGTATCACAATATAGTCATAAAGCTGCCTTGTTGCCAATAAAATAGAAGACAAAAACAACTGAATCGATCCAAAATAAGAGTAAAATTTTCTTGTGACACGAAACATTGTCAACAGGAATCAAACAAGACTTAATCCCTGTGTTTTGATGATAATTTGAACGAATGAGCCTCTCACATGCAGAATTTGCTTTGATGTTCGACGACATTGTTACGACTTAATCCTTTCCTACTACAATGCATATATTAATTTCCGGCTGAGTAAAATATCATTTCCACAAAATACAGCCTTAACAACAAAACAGCTAAAATATGTCATACGAAAAGACACTGTTATTGGAGAAGAAGATTACCATGTCAGCAACCTTTTTTCTGAAAAGGGACTATAAAGAAATGGCAATTATTATTTAATGTCCTATTAACAAAGTCAGGTTGTGAGCTTAAGTTGACTTATTAATACACTTTGTTCTCTAGATCTATGTAAACAAAATAAAATATTCCGACTCATAAACAAATTCAATGAATTCCAATGCGAATTGTATAATTAAATTAATACCAATTGTTGACGAACTAATGAATCATATCAGTTTATTGGGTTTAGTTAAAAAGGATCTTATATTCTTAACTTTGCAATGGTTATGGGATGACGATGATATTTTAAGCAATATCTAATCCAGGCATCACAGGCACTTCAATTATAGTCACTGTTTGGTAAAAAATATTCAATTATTCATTCAGTGCATGCAACCGCCATTGTCTCCTATATAAAGTGTTATCATGTTTACGTTTTTTTTTTAAATATTATTTATATATTGCGTGAAACTTCTAAAGTTATTACATATTTTCAGTGATCCCTCGGAAGCATAAATTACGAAAACTGTATATCTAATAATAAAGCAAACACAAACGTTAAAAAGAGACAGTAAGACATGAAAATATACCATAATAAAACAACTAGAGGAAGCATATATACGTTTTACAGCCCTAACAAAAAATCATTTGAAGTACAGGTCGGTAGCATAAAAAATTATCAAACAAGTAGCAAAAAACATTTCAATTCGACACTAGAATAA